ATGTGATGAAGTTAATGATAACTGTCGACCTGTGCTTGTTGTTACTTGTTTGAATATAGCTGAAAAGAATTAAGATAGATATAAGAAGTTGATAATTAGTTGAAATGAATTACCAAAGTGATGTGGTTGAAAATCAAGCATAGTGATAAGATGTGTAGAGGTGATTTGTTTTGTTTTATGATTATAAGCAAGAAGTGCATCACCTGATTGTAAGTGAGCAACCGATTTCTGTTTGCCATTTGATAGAGTAACAAGAGAATCAGCAGAAAAACAACGTTGGTTGTTTATCACTGAATCTATGAAAATTAAAGAGATAAATTTCGTAATTATTTTCTATACAATTACATGCGAAACAAACCTCGAATTGAACAAGTTGGAGCATTACGATCCGGACAACAATTTTGTGACAGGCCTTTAAGTTCATTGAAAGCTGCAATTCCAATCTAGATTTAACAAAATAAATCAAATTCGAAATTTACTCCAAGTAGATTGTTATGTTCACAAACCCGTTCTCCAATGCATTCCGATATATGACTCTGTGCGCATTCTGTGATTAATGTTGTCGATCTACACATTCTAGCAATATCTGAAACATGTTACATAATTAACATAAAAAATTGTTCATAAACTGACCGTTTTTCGAAAGTGCAATTAGAATTGTACTTATATGAGATAGACACTCAACTAATTCCAATGGATCTTCGGCTATATTACATTTCGCATGTGTCATTAAAATAAAGCAACCAAATATACATATAATTTTGAATAATATCTATATTGAAGAATTGAAAATCCGTTATGTTATTTAATTCAACTTACCATGATTAATAGAATTACTAAAATAAAAGCACAAAGATGTTGGTATATCACGGGCAAATAATAAATGATTTCTTCAAATAACGAAGAGAAAAATGAATATACGAATGTTCTTCGTGTTTTATAATGCGTCACTTCTGCTTTTTTTTTAGCAAAAGCTGAAATTACAAACCGTTATTTTCTACTACGTAGGTAAAATAGATATGTACATTGGCGTCTCATTTTAAAAACAAAACAAATACATATGCAAAGCCTATGATTGAAATATCAATATTACTAAGAACAGAAACTCATTCCACTTTTGATTGATTGCATATGATATCGAATCTTTTTTAAATTATGTGAAGTGTTAACAAGTTAATCATTTCATGTACTTTTCTTGTAAGAAAAGACCTGATTTTTCACAAAAACATGAGAGTTTTTTACTTTAAATATTAATCCCTGGCCATAATATTCAATTGCTTTGTATGTTCTTATAATCATATTTCTAAACATCGATACAAACTGAAGTTTTCAAGCTGATAACTAATAGATTATATTTACAAACATAAATTTATGTTATATAACTTATGCATTCAATAGCTTCAGTTTGTTTCAATAGAAATTTTTCAGTATCTCTGCGCTTTCATCTAAATTTCCAATAAGAATTCTGAATAATTACAAATAAATATTATTATACTGGTATATTTAATTAATTCAGTTTGTTTTTTAAATCAAGCAGTCAGTTCACTGCAACATACAAGCAAATAAAATACAAAAAAAGAAAAAGTCATTTATTATTTTTGAATAATGGATGGTATGAGAGTGTTGGCTGCTTCATATAACATCTTTGGAAACCAATGAATACCAGTCATTTCATTTGATGACATTCCAAACAAACTATACCACCAACGCATTGGTGCCAAGATTATATGAGCACCATAATGACTATTGATAGTTGCATAACATGAAACAACAACATTATTCACTATTAATGTACCTTCTTCTGTTAATGGAGCCATATATCCTTGTTTCACAACATCTGTCAAATTGGAAATTGTTTCACGAATCATGACACCATCATCATTCATCACATAGATATTCATTCCAATATCAAGATTCTTAGCCATAACATAATCATGTTCATCAGTTGGAAGAAGATGTGATGAAGTTAATGATAATTGTCGACCTGTGCTTGTTGTTACTTGTTTGAATATAGCTGAAAAGAAGTAATATGGATATATAGATATAAGAAGTTGATAATTAGATGAAATGAATTACCAAATTGATGTGGTTGAAAATCAAGCATGGTGATGAGATGTGTAGAGGTGATTTGTTTTGTTTTATGATTATAAGCAAGAAGTGCATCACCTGATTGTAAGTGAGCAATTGATTTTTGTTTGCCATTGGATAGAGTAACAAGAGAATCGGCAGAAAAACAACGTTGCATGCTTATCGTTGAGCCTATGAAAATTAAGGAGAAAAGTATTGTAATGGTTTGTACAAGAAATATCTATGAAACGAACTTCGAATTGGACATCTTGGATGCTCTCTATTTGGACAACAATGATCGGCTAGATCAATGACTGTATCAAGTGTTGCTTTTCCAATCTAATAAAACATTCATAGACGAAAATATTACTAATATTAAAAATGTTCTACTTCTTCTGCCAGACAAAATGCTATTTCCTTTTTTGCACACGTTGCAATATCAGAAGCAATAGTACATATCATTTTTAGATCTATCATATATCAGAAGCAAAAAATTGTTTTATTTTCATAAAGAAATCTTTTACACACCGTTGGTTGCAGCTCCAATAACAGCGTTTGTCATATAACGGAGACATTTAGCAAGTTCATCTGGTTTTTCAAGCAGTTGACATTTTGATTCTTGTGCTTGTATCGTGCTTCCCAATATACCAATAAAAAGTATAAATTTCAAGAAGATCTAAATATGTATATTAAATTATCTCTAAAATATATGATCTTATTCTATCCTATACCATTTTTATTATCTGTTGAATGAATGTTTAAAATCGGATGTTTTTCGTTTAATTCCTATATAGCAAATGATATGCTGACGATAAACTGACTTTTTATATGATAAAGTCTACCTACTGAAGTTTCGCAATCAATTATAAAAACGAATCAGATTACAAATCTTCATTCTTTGATGTCTCTTCGAGAAAGTACGTATCATATTTTTGTTTCTCTTCAATTGATGACAACAAATCGATATCCAAAACCTGATCAAATTACTTCATGACAAACGAAAAGAAGCTATATAAATATAAATAGCTAGCAGATTGAGAAATATTATGATTAATATAATATTTGACTTCTAAAGTCAAGTAATTTACAAAATTTTCGTTTCCCTTCAATATACGTTTTGTTTTCAATAGCCAACAAAAAGAAAAAATTTGTTTTTTTCTTTTATTTATTTCGTTTTTCTTTTACAAAAAAAATCAATCAACGGCAATTTCAATAAATGCATTCATTGCTGACACACACACAAAGACATGTATAGACGAAAGATAGAAATTCAATGTCAAGAATAAACCTAAATAAAATAAATTTTCAAATTATTGTTTTTTGTCTTCGATAAAGAAAAATTATTTTTACCTTTTGAACATTTTTATCATAAAGTGAAATAGACTGTTGTGATGATCGATAATGCAAATAAAGAATACCGATACTAAATAGCGCCGAAAGAAGAAATATGCAATCAAACCATCGATGATAGAAATTGAATTGTAAATCTCCAAGAACCTGAGATATAATTTGCCTTAAATAATAAATACAAAACTTTTCAATTTAATTCTTTCGTTTATTTTCATTAAAATTATAAATACCGATATTGTGCTGGCATATTCATTCGAATAAGAAGTACAGAAGATATAAAATACATGCCCTAAACAAACAAATAGGATTCAAGAAAAACCTTCGTCTTCTTTTGAAAGTTAAATTTACCATTATTTGAGCAAGACATAAAACGATGACATTTGATGAACGACTACTCGATATAAAATAGAAAAACTAAACACACAAATAATAATAATAATATGACATTTTTTTATATTTATTAACCTTTGTTAATGTTATTAATAATCCACGAATACTTGTAACAACAATAATACCAATCAATATGAATGAAACATATTGAGACCAAAATTGTACATCAAATTGTAGATTGAAATAATGCACTGTTAATTCAATACCTCGTGTCACCGGATCAACTAAATTAAAAAATAGAAATTATTAAGAAGAAAAAATTCAGTTTATTTACCTTTTCCTACTCGATTAAAAATAATATTAATAAATGAAATAAGAATTTTCCATACACAATATAATGAAAAAAAATGTCCTAAGACATGAAAATATTTTCCTTTTAATGTTTTCGAATAGTCAATACGTTGTTGAAGTGCTTGTAAATCAACAAGATCACTATATAATTGTGAGGAGATTTCTTCATAAGTTGATATATCTTGTTTGATTGTTGAAAGATTATATGATAAATTTGAATTTGATTGAGATGAAAAACTTGAATTTAATGTTCGACGAAGAAAATTCCATCGATTATTCATTGAATTTAATGATGAAGAAAATGTTGATTTAAGTGAATTTTCATATTCAATATAAGCAACTTTCTTTTTTTTCGTTGCAACAATTTCCATGACTTGTTTCAAACGTTTTTGAGCATCACTTATATCTTTATCAGTAACAGGCTAAATATTAAATTATTCTTCAATATTCGAAATTTTTTATTTGTTTCTATCAATAATTAAATTTTATGCTTGATTACGAACCATGTAATTCACCGTTTTCGAACTCGGACTCTGATTACATTACTTGTTATCACTTTCTATTACTCACACATCTCAGAAAAGAATAGCTGAATAAATTTTAACATGTCGATTACGCTCTTATACCATAATAAGTTTTGACTGCTCAATCATTGTTAAATTCTATAAGAATTACACGAATGACAGGTTTCATTTGTTAATTCTTAATATCAAATATTTTTCCTAATCTTTCATTTGTGTAAAAGAATGTTAGTAAAGGCGTCTCAGCAGACCTCACGTTAAAAATATTTCGTCTATAACATCGGAATGTAATTGAGTATACATACTAATATATCACGTATTAATTAATATTTCTCATTAAATAATGTAGAACTCAAATGGCGAAATGAAATTAAAGATTATTATTATTTTTTTCCTTATATTTACTTTAATAAAATATGTCATATATGTATAGGGACAATTGACAGCTAAAAGAAAAGTAATTAATGGGATTTACTTTTTATTATTTAAATTATTTTTCTCACCACCAAAACCACTTAGAATAGCCATAGCTGTAACACCGATAATCCCCACTCGACTTATACACTGTTCAATACTAAAGAATTCATGCCGATTTGAAATCGGAAATGGATTACCCAGTTTCCAAAACATATATAAATAAAAACACCATGCTATCAATGTGAAAAATAGTACAAGACGAAAATCTCGAACTATAAAAAAAAATCAATTATAATATAAATAATAAATAAAAATATATATTTACCAATTTTAACTGTATTTAATAATAGATAAGCAATATAAAATGGGATTAAGAATACAAGAAGAAACAGCATACAATAAAGACCAATACGCCAATGTAGATATCGTGATCTATTTAAATTAAATATTTAGTAGAAGATTTCAATTAAAATAAATCGAATAATCATACGCTGGTTGTAATAAAGCAAGAATTTCAAATATAATCAATTCAAACATTGTACAACTTAATGCAAATGTTAAAGCAAACGAAAGAATTACTATTCGATTTCGTACATCATAATTTCGACAAAGTTGACGAACAAAAAATAGCCAACCACCAACGAAAAATACAATCTAATTAGAAATCTTTTTTCTTATATAAATATAATAAAGAAACAAGAAGTTACATACTTGAGAGATTGTTACAACAATCGTATCGGTTAAAAGAGACATGATTTTCTTTTACGACCAACAGGTCAATTCATATACAAAAAAATATACATTTAGGTTATAATAGAGTACCATAAAAGTAATGGAGTGGAGAGAACTAAAATAAAAGAAACTAACATATATTGTCAATCATGATAATCATTGGTACATCAAAGGAAGAGCAGTGGTTAGTAGAAAGAAAAAGAAAATTGCAACAACAAGCAATGGACACGTGAAAGAAAGAGAACGAAAGAACGAATATTATTCGTGCTTTGAATAAATCAAATGAAATTATAAACCTATGCCTCATTTAACTATTTTTTATTATATCTATTGAATATTATATTTTAGAAATCCTAGAATAAAAAAACTACTTTTTACAAGTTTATTTAAATCATATTGTAGATGTCGTTAGGTATGAAATGAAAATCGATAAAAAATCTATAATCAATAAATTGTAAGGTTCGTTGCATATGAATAAGAAGGTTAAATTGAATACTTTATGTCAAAATAAAAATTATCAGTTTTATCGATATAAACAACCATTCAATATGTTTCATAATAAATATTAACGCTATTTTTTTATGTCTTCTACTTATCAAAAATTTGATTGATAAATAAAAAGCTTTTGAAGTATGTGCCAATATCTTCTCTCAATAATTTTACATTGTTAACACCTATGAATGACTATTATATCATAATGTGTTAATTGATTTGTATAAACAAAAAGCAACTATTTCTTGAAAATTTTTACACTTCGTTAAAACATTTGCATATTCTTCTTCTTCTAATCTTTTCAAAAATAAACTAGTCTGAATAGTTCAACATTGAATTATGTAATCATATCCTGCGGAATAAATGGATTTATACATTCTCAAATACGACACTTTATATATATCTATATATATATTGGTCCTTCATTCATGCTAGAATAAGTTTAATTATAAAGATTGTTTATCGATCAATTTCAATATTGAATACATGCATATCTTTTATACATTATCAAGTAATTAATTAGCGTATAACATGCATCAAAAAGAATGTAATAAAATGTATTTGGATATGACGCAAAAAAATAAAATAAAATAAGATGATACTTAATTGTCAAAATTTATTGTAGAAATGTGTTTTATATAGAAATATAGTTAAGAGAAACAATGTGTTTTGTATTAACTTATCAGATATATATATATATACATTGCTGTTTGTCATTTATCACTTAGAAAGAAATAGAAGCACGTACATGGAAAAATATTAATTATTGTTTATAAAATGGAGAAATTATATTTATTTGACTGTCTGTTATGTAAAACAAACAAGCGTTAGATATTATCTAACAGAGGGTGTGGGTGTATATATGATTAAAAGAATCAGTAGTATGAAAATTGAAAGTTAATTTCAACGATTCAACTATTATTTCAAGTATTCATTCACACTACCCTAGCAACACCCAAGTTACATGCACACGCATACCTTGGATAGTTGAATTTAAATTTCAAGTATTACATATATGAAAAGAATGCACCTAGCCACACCCACCCTTATAAGTTATTAAGAAGAGAAATACATCAATAAAATAAATTGTTTATTATTAAATATTTTACGAATAGAATTCGTATTAACCAGTGGATTGGTGACTATCGAACCCGTGGAGTAATATACGGTTCAAAAAATCATTCAATCTATAAACAAGATCAAGTACAAAAAAATTCTATCATAAACATCTTTGAATCATACGTAACATTATTGAACAAGTAATAATATGCTGATGAGGTATTCATTCCAAGATACACCATATAGTTTTAAAAAATTGACTATAATTTCGATATATCTCTCACAAGTTGTGATGAACTCTATGACTGGTAAATACAAACATGTTTTGAGGCACAGCTATGAATGCCTTGATAATACTTGTATTATTTAGAAAGAAGTTGATTGCGATTGAGTGATACTGACTTTATAGAAACGTTTTTTAGCACGTAGTCTTTTCAAATGAGGAGATATACGCGGAATCACTAATGAAATCGAGAGAAGTGCAAGTATGGTTAAAGCCCACTCTAATGAAACTAACCATTTTGGAAGGTTTCCAATCATAATGTAAATGATAGGGAAAGCCACATGTGGTACAGCAGATGATGTTAAAACAGTAAGAAGAAGAATTATACGTTTCAAAATAATCAAATCACGACGCAAAATTGTTCGTTGTTTAATCGTTATAATTGTTGAGTTATGTTTGCGAACATAGTATATCGTATACCCATAGCAATATAATATGATAGTAAACGGAGCAAGAAAACCAATTAAACAAACAGTTAATGAACTACGCATGTTACTCGGTGCAACTTGGCAATGAAAATCATTCTCTAAATATTCAATATCACCGATCAATAAACTTGGTAAAAGTTCGATAGCAGAAAATATCCATTGACCAAGAAAAATAATAACATATAAATTAAACGGTTGACGTTTAGTTTGTATTGGATATAAAATTCGACATATTCGATAGATAGCTTGCAATGAGAATGAATGAAAAAAAGAATATCCACAAATATAGAGAATATAACCTTTAGTACGACACCAGAGATTATCAAATGAACTGTTAGGATATAAATATCCAGTAATATAATAAAAATACATATCCAAAAAGAAACAACTAATAACAAGTAATATTATATAAATATTTGCAAGAAATAAACAATCGATACGTTCGCCTCTGATAGTTGGTCGATGTAAAATTATAAACAGAAGCATATAAGTTGAGATAAAAATTTGTATTATCGAAAAAATAAAAAGAATCAAATAAAAAACCATAATTATATGATTTACGGACATTATAAATTAATTAGATTTTAGATAAGTAATCGGTCGTTGAAATAATAATAATAAGAATTCAAAGACGATATATCTTCCTCTGTAATCTAAGAAAAAATACAACGAATAAATACATTATGAGTCATATTAATGAAAGAAAAAAAGAGTTAGTGTCTTCTATCGCTTGGAATCAAATTTGTTGATTATTTGAGATCGTTGAGTAAATGAGAAAAAGTATCTTACTAGAGTTTATATATATCTTGTAGGTGTCGATTACAAAGAAGTTTTATAAAGGATTAAAGAAAAAACTCGTTATGAAAGAACATATTCATATCATGACTACTATGGAGTAAATGTTTATATAAGAACGAAATGATAATATATCAACATCACACAAAAACTCCTTTACTCAGGGGTATTTTCATTGTGATTATTCTAACACCCATTCTTGTTCGACTAAAATGAACGATATTAATTTGTTTCCTGAAACATCGCATGATGACAAAAAAATTAGCAGGAAACAGATATAATACTAATATATCTAATTTTACTCGAAAAGGATAGATCCCATGTCAAAAAATAGAGACTCCTATGTTATTTTCTTCTTTGTTTGCTATACATAAATGTATCTCATCAAGAAAAAATAGTAATAGAATTAATAACGGTGCATAGGTACAACTGTTGTTTTCTAAATGTTATGATATGTCAAAACTGTCAACTATTTTTATGATTAACTATGACATCAACAGACGTATGTGAATTATTCATATATATGTAAGTATAGATTAGTATGCTCTTGGGACATACTTCGGATAGATTCAAATGTTTTTTTTCTGAACAGAATAAGAAATTCTGTCAATGATTTTCTATACAATCATTTTCAGACAAATTACATTTTTCGTTTTCATATTTATCGGTCTATTTCATTTCATTCAATTAAAGAGATATCATAATAAGTGTACTAACCTTTGTAATAAATGAAAATGTTTATAATTATGTATGGTTTAAAATTTGACCCAGAATAAACATAAATATAGGTACGGACTAAACTATTTAATAATTTGTCACGAAGTAACAGGACTCATTTGTTGTTCATCTTTTGTTTCTTCTATTGTCCCTCGTTCTTTTTATCCTTTTTCTTTTATCTATCACATATTTATGAGAATAAAATGTAAAATTTGCACGCATTTAAGTATTCTATATCTTATTCTTTTTTGTATCGTGCTGCATATATAAATGTAAATGTTTTCGAGCGAAACAATTTGATGAGTGTTTTAAAAGAAAAAAGAAATTGCGCGTCCATTATTATGCCTTTTGAGTTACTGAATAATAATAAGTTTCATGTACTGGAAAATGATGAATTATGAGCTTTTATGAGTATGTACTATTTAACAAAAGATACAATGATAAAAATAATTTTAGTCAACTTCTAGTTACCTGGGAAGTAAATGAAATTGATTGCTTCGATAGATTAAATCGCGTGTCAAGCTATTCTTGATTATGAAATAAAGTAGGTGTATCCGAAAGAAAAATCTTGATATTATAATCTTTTACGTCTAAGATATCTAATTCCAGTTATGATATAAATATACGTTAAGATTCTTTTATCTTTTCAGGAATAAACAGTCACTTGAAATATAAATGTAATAAATCATATTAGTTATGAAATGGCGATCACTAACGCTGATTTTACTGTAAATTTATCTTTTAAAAAGGAGTTAAGAGATACTTTAGAAGAGATTTACGCGTGAAAAAATTAAATCTAAGTAGTTATGACTATGTGGTCTTTGTTACTTGGAAAGAGGTAGCGGTAACATTCACCAATTCCTCCTCTTTAGTAGTGAAGATCTTAGGTCTTCAGCTATCTTGGTTTAAAACTTATAAGTATTGTGTACAACTGTCCTTGTTAAAATTTCGATTTTATAGAGGTGCAAAGCATGCTGATTTACTCACATTGAACATCTAAGATTCTGAAGCTATATTAGCGTGTTTGTCTATGTATTTACAGAGAATAATTTTCTTATAATAATAATGCTGGAGATTGTCTCTATGTTAAATTACATATCAACATAAACAGAGAGAAGAAAATTGAAGTATTAGTTTGTGAAACAATGTTATCTGATAATTTTCATACATAGATTTTGAGTTACACTCAATATCTTTTATCAAAGAAAAATGCGGGATATTATAAAAATATTGAAGAATTATATATTTTCTTTGGCGAATTGTTCAATAATTGCATAATGAAATAAAAATAAAATTCTTACTCAAACAATAACCAAATAGACTTTTATGTAATAAAATGTGTTCATTTTTAAATGAATTAAAAGTATCTATGGGGCGACAAATGCCGGCTCATTTCTCTTTCTTTTGCTTCCTATATAATTTTTCACTTTCTCAATATTTTATAATGTAGTCATACATTTCTTCTATATTAGCGGTGTCGAATAGATGTCATTTGAAATTATTCGACACTCTGTTCTTCACATGCAGTGAGATATATATATTGAGAGTATAAGTGGATTTGAGTAAGAGAAGAACACAATATTCTTACCAACCACACCTACATCTTGCTCTATTTCTAGTTACGCGTAACGTTAGAGCTTTTGATCGTGTGAAATCATGCGTGTATTCTAGTTTCATAATAAAAAAACAATATAATAGAATAATGAATACGGATTTCTAAATACATCTATATGATTAAGATTAAATACGAATTATTTACAAATATAATTAGCAGCAATCACAACTAAATCTTATCGAATGTTTAGGAAAAGTCAATGTAACGATGAATTCTACTCGAATACTTGTGACAAATTCAGAAAATGAATTTTATCGTTCTGACATGGAAACTTCATTTGCATATAGGTGGAAAATATAAAAACATACAATATTTATAACTTGTCTTTTGATAATACTTATAATAAAAATTATTCTCAAAAGAAATATTTATAAAGGGAAAGTATAGACAGATACGATTTTATTTATTCATGAAATGTAAAGATGATAATGAGTCAAATAGAGATATATGTTTTAAAAGTCCTTTCTGAAAACAAATCTATTTCATAATATACAAATACAATGAATTCGTAATATTCTCATTATGATAATATGATTTATCCATATCTGGACTCGATTAAACTATATGGATAATTTTAGCAGAGATACAAATTTTAGCTTATTCTTATAGACAATATACATTTATAAAAAAAACTATTTAGTCATTATAAAGATTCTTTATTAAATAGATGTATAAAATTCTGTCATGCGAATACGCCCTCTATAATTAATTGACCATATTGATAATCTCAGTCGATCAATCTCTCTATATGCTTTGTCCATAATCGTGAATGATAATCTCCTGTATGAAATATGCTATTGTTTCCCATAAACTAATATAGGTAGTATACTTTTCTGTTGGATGTTCTCAAACGTTTCAATTGATAATCTGTAGTTCAATCGAAACTAATCTTGTTTGTTTGTAAGTATTATAAAAGCATCAAAAAAAGAAATAAATGAATTGCTCATAATCGTTTAAAATGATTTTAAAAGATTTTTTTGATAATGAATTGAATATCATGAAGAATCTTTTTCAATAAATCAAATATCTCATAATCTAAATGTATTAAAACAAGAATTTGTTAGTTTATTTAAAAGGTTCAAATTATTTTAGTCAGATGTCTATTAATATTATACAGATTCATATAAAGAAAACCATAAACAGTTCATCCTTCACCTGTCTGTCGAAAGTTCATTTAATGAAGAGATTATATTTGAATTGAGAAAGATATTTGTTTCGAAAAATAAATTATCTACTCATTTCGATTGATTTTGTGATTACATAAATAATCTTTATTTCTTTCATCTAGTTTAGATTTATTTTTACATCATAATAATTTGCTGTATTTTATAGAAATTACTGCGTCGAATTATGTAAAAAAATGCCATTCACTATTTATGTCTATGGTGTCAATGAAAATCGATTTTTGTTCCGGTCTATGTTCTTACTAATTCTTGTTGCTGGTGTACAATTTTATCATGTATTTTTTCTTCGAGATATTCAACGATCAGTTTTTATATTTCGAGAACCAAACGTAACAGATATTAGTTGGGATATGTATATATCAATTCCATATGAAGATTGTCAATGTAATGTTATATCTATCGAATCATGTCTAACTAATTTGCAAATTAAATATACTCGTATTCTTCCATTAATATTATTTCTATTAGAAGTTTATACTTTTAAAGATATTCTTTCATTACATCGTTACCGAAGTCATTTTATTGTCAACTTCTATTGGATTGTCTCGATCTTTCTTTTCTTTTGTCTTGTAACGGTTATCTATCGATGTAGTTCTTATTATGATATCATTAATATCATTCTTGCTGATTTAGGTATATTATTATATCTTACTTGTGGAGCAACACAAATTATTCCTTAATCAATTGTATTATATTCTAATTCTCTTCACAGATCGCGAAGATTTTATGAAATTATTTCATGTTAATGAGAACTCTTTGTTGATAATGTCGACTAGTTTTCTATAGTGTTTTATTCTTTATTTGCCGATATTAACTGTGTGTGTGTAATACAATGTTAATAACTTTAATAATTTCTATTTGATAGTGAACTAGAAATTAAAAAGTTCTCTTTTACATCAATATACTCAAGTACAGCTTCTATTACCAAGTCCGTGTCTGTATACTTCGTATATATCACAAAACTACTAATAAAAAATAAAAAATGAAAGAAAAAAAA